GACCTTACTGCTTTGAAACTTCTTTTAACTCAATTCTTAGATCTATGTACAAAACATTATAACTTACTGGTCCTATCATACACACATTTCAGAGCGAGATGATTAAATCTTCCTCCTAATTACAAAGGAAATGCAGAATTTGTAGTAAGCTCATTTTAGAAGGTTGAGAAATAACCTGTTGCAGAAAGTGGCATTAACTGAATCCCCCTAAACACATCATTCACATTATATGTGTGTGTTTGGGGTCATTGCTTGCTCGAAACACACAACCTTTATTTCTAAGGTCAAAAGTACATTAAAATTGTGACAAATGGATTGTAGTATATCACTGACTTTTAAATCTATTTTTCCTTTCTTCATCTCTCCTATTCTCCTAATTGAACCAAAAACCTAAAACAAATAAAGGTTAAATTCCTGAGTTTTTTTAAGAAAATTTTTGTTTGTAAATAGTATCAAACTTATAGAAAAGTTGCAAGAATAAAAATGCTACGATTGTATATCTTTTATGTAGATTTGCCCATTTTCTTTACCATTTATTCACCCCCCCCATACGCACATACATATTTTTCTCAATCAATCAATAAGTTACATCATTACCCTTTACACCTAAACATTTGGTGTGTATCTCCTAATAGTAGCGATATTCTTTTACATAACCACAGTATAGTTATCACCTGAGTAAGTTTAATATTTGTGCAATACTCGGGCGCCTGGGTGGCTCAGTTGGTTAAGCGACTGCCTTCGGCTCAGGTCATGATCCTGGAGTCCCGGGATCGAGTCCCACATCCGGCTTCCTGCTCAGCAGGGAGTCTGCTTCTCCCTCTGACCCTCTTCCCTCTCGTGCTTTCTATCTCTCATTCTCTCTCTCTCTCAAATAAATAAATAAAATCTTTAAAAAAAATAATATTTGTGCAATACTTTGAACTATCAATCTACCCTTTCATATTCCGATTTTATCAATTGACCCAATAATGTCCTTCATAGCATTTTTCCCTTCTAGGACTGGTTTCCGTAAAGGGCCATGTATCAGATTTAGTTGTCAGGTTTCCTTAGCCTTCTTGAATCTGGGACATTCCCATACCCTTTCTTTGTCTTTTATGACATTGGCATTTTTGAGGAATAGAGTCCACCTCTGCCCCCCGCCCTTTTTTAGAGAGAGAGAGCAAGCATGAGCGGGGTGGGGAGGGGCAGAGGGAGAGGGAGAGACTCTTAAGCAGACTCCCTGCTGAGCTTGGAGCAGATCCATCTCACAACCCTGAGATCATGACCTGAGCCGAAATCAAGAGTCAGATGCTTAACCAACTGAGTCACCCAGGCGCCCCTTTCTTCTCCCTCTTTTTAAAAAATTCGATGTTTTTCATTTTAAGTTTGTCTGATAATGTGTCTCATAATTAAATTCAGGTTATGTATTCTCGACCAGAATACTAAAATGAGTGATGTTGTGTCCCTTACAGAGTATCACATTTGGAGACACACAGTGTCCGTTTGCCCCTCATTGATCGCCTGGTCAAGGTGTTATCCAGTTTCTCCACTATGTAATTACTGGTTTTTCCCCTTGCAACTAATAAGCAATATATGGGAAGGCACTTTAGGACCATCCAAATATCCTGCTCTTTCTCTGTTGAAATTCAGCCACTATTAATGATTGTTGTTTGATTCTGTCATCTTACTATGATAAATGCAAATGATGATCTTCCAACTCCCATACAGTCTTCACATTTACCAGTTGGCACTCAAGATTCTGCTGTGAGCCAGTGTCTTCCCTTTTACTATTGGTATGAACTCACAGATTCTTATTCCCCCGCGCAATGGTTTATAACTCATTACTGTCCTTAATTATTTTGTTAGTCAAATTGTCCGATATTTGGCCATTGATAGCCCCTTCAGGCTGGCTTCTTCATGCTTGTGACATTCCTATATCTGCCCCCACCCTTTTTTTTAGTACTTCTTGCTTTCTGGCATAATGAGATGTTCCAGGCCCATCTTGCTCCCTCTGTCTTTCCCCCCCCCGATTCCTTGGTTTTGACTTTGATTTGCCACTCGTTCTCAAAATTGCAGAAAAACTCATCTCCTCTATTTATTTCCTCCCGGGCTCCAGCCCCTCTCCAGGCAAAGCCCACCACCACCATGAAAACTCTGGTAACAAACTATAGAAATGGTCTCTGAAAGTATAGTCTTACCACCCTGAAAACTCTGGGCTTACCTGCCTACTTGGTAAGTAGGGAGAGACTCTTGCAAAGTTAAGGTCTCTGAGTCTTTGCTCTTGCCTTGTCACCCCCTTCCTCGTCCAGGGTCATTTCAAATGTGATTTCCTTTTTACTCCAGATTGCCACCCATGGGCTGATTTAATTGTTTTCTGATCTGTGTTTCCATAGCACTTTTTACATATCTTTATTATGGTGCTAATCTTGTACTATTATGCTTTGGTTACATTTCTAGCTAGACTGAACTCAAGTACTTTCAAATAGCTTGGGGAGAAAGGTATTAATTTTCCCTATTTTGCAGATGAGAAAGAAACTTGAGGTTCAGGGAGGTAAGCCTAAGAAAGAGGCAGCAGAGCACAAGGCTAAGGTCCTCGGTTGCAACCTACTCCCGTCATTTATTAGCGGTAGGACTGTAGGCAAGTTACTAAACCTGTCTATGCTTCAGTTTCCCTGGCAGTAAAATGTGGATGATAATAAATAGAAACTGTCACTGAGAGCTGTTGTGTGGATTAAAAGAGTTAATATTTGTAAAGCACCTAGAATAGTGCCTGGCACATGGTAAGTGGTATGTAAGTGTTTGTTAAATAAATAAAGTCATGTCACTGCAATTCAAATCCAAATCTTCTGATGATAAAGTTCCTAGCCACTGCTCTATTTTAACTTTGTAGGATTCCAATATTCCCTGAGAAGCAGTGGTTCTATTAGAGACAGCAATAAAAGGAAGCTGGTTCAGGACATGAGACATTAATGAGGTGAGAGGAAGCAAAATGTTCCTGCAAACTGCTGAATTAAGGCACACACCAGGGAGGGGAGCAGGTGTTCAGTTCTCCTGACTCTGGGTCTAGGGCACACGGGTTACATACTCAGGCAAGGACCACAGGAAGACTCCAGGAGCTGGTCCCTCATGAGGTCTCTCTACGTGTTTTTCCTCTCAAGTCCATTGTGGGTTAGACATTTGGGCCCGTGGGGTGACTTGCCACAAAGACTCTGCCTGTGCATTCACAGTTCTGCAAGACGGTACCATTGACCCATGGAAAATATTCACTGTTGCTTTATTGAAGATGGCAAAGCTATTGGTTGGGTTTTTGAATCTTGTGTTGTACTACAATGGGAGTTAAGAATAAAGTTTACATTTCCAAAGCAAGAATCATTTTTATTTTGCCCTAATAACTGCCCACAAGATGGGGCGCCTGGGTGGCTCAGTCGGTTAAGGGTTTGCCTTAGGCTCAGGTCATGATCCTGGGGTTCTGGGATCTAGCCCCACTTCAGGCTCCCTGCTCGGCGGGGTGTCTGCTTCTCCCTCTCCCTCTGTCACTCTCCCTGCTTGAGCTCTCTCTCTGTTGAATAAATTAAAAAAAAAAATTAACTGCCCACAAGATAGTTACTTAACTGACATATATTGTTGTTATTGTTATTATAATGAATGTTGATATGGTTAAAAATGTTGGATTGCATTATAATTGATCTGGTAGATGACAGTTGTTAGCTGAGTGACAGAATTATGTATAACTTTTCAGTTTAGGGACCATGAGTAGACAGTGCTTGTCTACATGTGGAAAAGTTACTGGTTACCCTTTATGTCAACTATTAACTGTTAACAACCTAAGAGCGCATGATCTGCGTAACTGTGGAAACTTGAGCATGAGTCAGAATCGTCTTTTGGGCTTGTTAAAGCACAGATTGCTGAACCCTATCTCCAGAATTTCTGATTCACTCTGGCTGGGGCAGAACCGTGAATCTTCATTTTTAATCAATAATTTTTAATAAAGTTTAATCTTTTAATTTAAAAAAATTTAGTAAATCACTTCCTTTCAGGTGATGCTGATACTGCTGATTCAGAGACCACAATTTGAGAACCATATCCCTTTTGTTGACTAAGAACAAACATCTCTCACTGGCAACAAGTTACCACCGCCTGAGTTGCAATGCAATATAATTAGATTTCTTTTAAATAGGCCATCTTAAGCAAATTTCCCAACCACTTTTAGCATTTTATAGACCAAGAGCCATCACTTAATTATTTCTCCTCTAGAAGAAAAAAAACTCCATACAAACCTTAGTGATGGAGGTTTTAAAGGAATACCACAGCTAACTGACTGTAGCATTAGATGCATATTTCTGATGTCTTGATAATTAGACACATTAAGACTTCTTGGTGCTTGCCAATATTTTTATGAAACAAGAAGTATATCCATCTAGGTTTGTCCCTCTTTGGGACCGTCTTGAACTAGCGAGCAGAGAGGTGATGACCAGCAGGTGGTGCTCTGAGTCAGTTCATGGGGGCCTAAATAGGGTGGAAGGCAAAGGCACAAACCAAGATGGCCTGCTTTAAATCCTCAAAGTAAGGTCCTCTTAACCACTTGTCATAAAATACCCTGAGACACACGTCTTGGAAAATCGAAGTGTCAAGCTCAGCATCTTTGCCACATTTCAAGCTAGGTAATTACCTTCTCTCCCAAAGGGAATCTGTTTTATGTATTTGTGTCCTTTCTAGGTTACAGGTTTCCCAAAGGCAATGATCTTGCCTTCCATTCATTCTATACAATGCTGAAGTGAAATGCACATTTTACAATAACAATTTAATTATTCTACATCCCTCTGAGCTACATGAGGACCTGTTATATAATTGCTAGTAATACAGAAACGTGCCTGCCTTGTATAAACCCTAGTAATAAGTGGAAATTTTTATTTGACCTGAAAGTAAATTGCTTATTTACTTCTCCTTTATAGTGTAGAAAGCTATTTTCCTGCCATCGCAAATTATGACTCATAATCAAGTAAACAACACTTCATTTTAGTCTGTCATTTTTATTGTCCGCAGAGTTTTTTTTAACTACACACAACAAATACTTTGATATAATCTAAGATAATAAAATAGTTGAACAACTTCTGCTTTTAGATTTACATTTGTATAGAAACAATCTGTGGAACTCCTCACAGGGTGTCTAAAAACAGTGATTCATTAGCATTGCTTTAAATAATCGTTTGGTTAAAAGTTGCCCTTTCCATTCTCAACTGAAATGTGTCTCCATGCAGTTTCCCTTGGGTCCAAAGCTGAAGACCTTGGGAAGGTGGCCAAAGAAAAAGGATGGCCACTCTCCTCTCTGTCCTTCCCTTGTGTGGAGGACAGTGATTGGAGCAGGGTTGTCATAAAAGCCAGGAAGAAAAGAAATCAATTGCCACATCTCTAGTTTTCAAAGGTCAAAGTCTTAACGGGTCTTTACACAAGTCCCTCTCTGTAGATGTGAAGTTCTAGGATGATGGCACGTGCCCACCTGCCCCCCAACACTCCTTTCCTTCACTAATTGTGTCAGTAACTATGGCTAGACTGTGGCCATTGTCCATAAGTTCTCCCTAAAGATTGCTCATTTTGTCAGATTTAAGTCTTGTCCCTTGTATTATGTCACTTGGATGTTGTGTCTTGGTGCCCAGGGAGGGTCCACCATCCCCTAGGAAATGCCTCATCCTACCCTCAAATCCCCAGAGTGCCCAAGAGTGAAGACCCCATGGAGACAGTGACTTCAGTGAGACACGCTCCCCCAGAGATACTGGGGGCCTCTGGCCTAGATCATTCCATTGATCTTAGTCCACTCGTAGATGTCCTGTTCGCACACTATGTCGGAGTTGATGAGGAGGTATCTGTCGCCCACACAGAAATGCTTCTGACAGGCGGCGCATTTGAAACATTCCAGGTGATACACTTTGTCTTTCACCCGCATTGTCATCTCGTAGGCACGGATCCGCTTGTCACAGGATGCGCAGAGACCATCTTGGCCAAAAAGCCTGGGGGAAAAGCAGAAAGAAAAGCTAAGAAGACATTGGCAGAAACAAAACTGGAAGAAAAGGCTTGAGGATGGTTTCCATAAGGGAGGCTCACTTCCAACCTGTCAGGAAACCAGGAAGAGGTGGGTCCAGGGAGGCTCGCGGAGTCTTTCCTAGAGGGAAGGGGGTTCTCTGGGATGAGGCCGCAACCCGTGGCATCTGTGTTTAGCATAACCTGCCCCTTTTCTGAGCTCTCCTTGCTCTAGGCTGCCCTGGGACCCCTCGTCTGTGGAGAAGTGCCTTAGTTGAAGTGATTTGAATTAAGAGATTAGGCATGTACTGTGTGTCCCCTCCCAGGGAACTTTCATTGTAGAAGAGCTGGAGTAAATCTCTGGGGGCCCTCTGAGGGGGAACTAAGCAGGAATGCAGTGAAATGGGCATCTTTCTGGGGTTCCCAGATTCTATCATGGTAATAGCCACTGATCTCACCCATGGGGAGGGCTGGTCTCCAACTCCTCCATGAGCTAAAATTGCTACCTCCACATGACTGTTCGCTGAGGCCCCAGCTTCTAGGAGACAGAGAGAATTTGACAGAAGACACTCGGTGCAGTTTACCGTGCCTCAGAGATCTGGGAGACCAACAGCATCTCTCCACCTTGAATGGAAGAGCTTACTTCAAGGTCCTAGGCTGCCCCATTGGCGTGAATCTCTGGAGAAACCTCTCTTCTGACACTGAAATCAAGACTCCCCTAAGTCTCAGTCAGTCACTTATTTCAAGCAATATTCGATGTCAAGGTGGGAGAGGCAACATGGTGGGGCCCAGTGTAGTGGTTCTCAAGCTGTGTTCCTGGGACTAGCAGATTTGTATCACTTGGAGGCTTGCTAGAAATGCACATTCTCAGGCCTCCCAGTTGAGACACTCTGGGGGTGAGGGCTGTGTGTTAAGGAGCACTTCCAGGTTAGTCGGCTATAGGCTGAAGTTTTGCAATCAGCTTGCAAGAGTGGAATCATGCACGTGCAGGACTAGCCCTGAGGACAGAGTGAGCACGGTGGGACCTTAGGCTCCTCTGAGCTTCTGCAATGGCAGTGATCGTAGCATCTACCTCATTGGGCTACGAGAAGGATCAAACAGAGCACTGTCAAAGCGCCGACCATCAAAGGCTAAGCCCATACTGGCTGTGTTTTAGCACAGGTCAGGGGTCCTCGCGATAGCGCCGTCCTGCTACAGGAAATCATTTTCCCACGTGCCTGATAACACGTCCCTTCTGCATCAAACCTGTAGCACAGTTTTAGGTTAATGCTTCTTCTTACTGGAAGTTCTTATTCACCTCAGGATAGCAGAGAATCGATGGGAACATTCTGAGAGGCTGGAGGGAAGACAGGGGCACTTGAAGAATTTGGAAACGTTTGGGCAGAATTAATGGAATCAAGAAGATGCGGTCTGTGGGTAAAGGGCTGATAGTGAGGGCCAGGGCCAGCTAATTTCCCTCTGAATCCTGCTTTGCATTTGAGGATCTCTGAGTGTTTTTGAGGCACCACCTGGGAGCAAACTCAATACGGGGGGAAGAACATTTTATCCCAGCATAGCAGATGGCGGAGCTGGAGGAAGCTGCCACCTTGGAGGTCACAGAGTGGAAAGCCAGTTCTGGTTTCCCGACTGTTCAGTAAGTTGAGTTTGGGACTGAACAAGGATAAACGACTCAACAAAACAGTGTGCGTGGCATGAAGCCAACACGTGGGGTGTGTGACCCTTAAGGAAGGAGAGCATTTATTAAAGGGAAGTTGGGGGTAAATTACAATGCACATCAGGCAGTTAATGAGGGGAAGGACAAAGGACTCATGTTTGGGAGAAAGTTCAGGTCCCTCTAACTAACCAGGTGCCCCGGAGCAAATGACAACCTCTCTTCTGACTTCTGTGTCGTAAGCTATAAAGCACGGAAACTGGAAGAAAAGGCCTCTGCAGCCCCTTCCAGCTCTGGTATCCGGAGATTCTACTAATAGGAAAAATAAGCCAGGACTTGACATCTAATTTGAGCATTCACCTCTGGCACCAAGAATTGGTGCCTTAGGCTGGATATCCTGGAAGCGGACCCTGGGGAGAGGAATTATTAAGGATGTATTCTCAGGGGAAGCTGCTGAGAGGCAAGGGAAGCTGGATAGAAGGGGAGGAAGGCAAGCAAAGTTGTATCTCCAGCAAAGGCCCTCAGAGGGGAGCACTGGGAGGATGGCACAGGGACTCGGGGTAAGTTACGTCTCCAAGTCCGCCTGGCTCCAGGCAAGTTTGCAAGGCTTTGGTGCTCCTGCGATGCCCGTCATCGGTCAACAGTCAATGTTAAGGTCCCATAAGGCGGTATGGGGGCAGTGGGCACACTTCGGCTCTAATAGATGCAGGTGTTGGCTGTTGCAAGTTAAAGCACTTGGGGGGGGTGCCCTGCACACAAAAGTTGGTAGAGAGGGATCTGACGGAATCTGGGGGCCTGTCACTGACATGAACAGCTACTGTTAGGTTCCCAGCAACACAACTCCGCAGCAAGCCGCGGCGGGGATTAGATTCTGCTGCCATCTCATGAATATTTGAGGCTAAATGTCTGAAAAGGACTCAAACAGGCAGGTCGGCCGTGGGCAATCCTCAGGAGGAGGAGAAGTTCTTCCGGGGGGAGAGAAACACTGAACCCCATCACAGGACGCCCCCATTTATTCACTCTTGCCTTTTAAAAAGACACTGCCAAATATGTTAAGAATACAAGTAAGCAAGTCCATGGCTAAAGGACCAGCTCTGAAGAAAAAAAAAAAAAGGTTTTTCTCCTCTGTCAAGAGGTGTCAATGTTCTAAGCTTTCTCCTGCCCATTTTAATAACAATAATATAAATATTAAAGGATGGCTGGAAACGCCTGCACTAACACAGAGTTAATTAACATGTTGCCTAGGAATGTACCAGGGAGAAGAATTATTTCATGTCACCAAGACACAAGTTAATTAACGCTGGGTACTCCCAGACATTTTTTTTCTCTTCTTTTTAAAAATGCAAAAGATGAACAAGCCCAGGCGGCACTGGGTTTATTCTTGAATGTTACATAAAACCATAGAGATAGGGAGAAGCCGGGGCTCTTTTGACCTTACTCTATCTGCACTTCATTTAATAAGATTCAAATGATTTGACAGGGATGTAGTCAGGGGGCCCAATGGGAATCATTTACCCGTCTGCTTTCTGCATGGACTTGGCAAACTGGTAGCCAGCAAAATCAGGTCTCTATTTATCCCAGTTCCATTTTCTTATAACTTAATAAAAAAGGACTAAAATTATAATCATGATCATTGAAAACTCTACTTATTTTCTCTGAACCACCAAATTTGCAAGGACTTTATCAGAGAATTTAGGGAAAAAAGCGTATTCTATCCGTCTCTGGGTAAACAGATAAGCTTCCTTCACCGTGGAATTGCCTGCATTTTTTTTTAATGTAAAAATGTTCTGAGGGCAGGTTTGGGAGGAAGAGGTAGCGTGGCAGCCAAGGGCACTGGAGTCTAAACAAGCTTCCCTGGGTTGGGTGGTCCTAATGCATTAGGGCTGCATGCTCCACAGACCCTCTGCCACGGGGAGATGGCAAAAAACTGACAGCTATACAGTTGAGCAGATCTGACAGTAGAGGGCACAGAGTTACCGCCACAGCAGCTAATATGAAACTGGAAATGCTAGAACATTCTGGGCAAAGGCACTCATTGAGTGCCAGAAAACTCACATGGCCGGCAGTATGACCCGGAGCATCAGAGATGTCCTCAGCTCCTGTCTCTTGGGGTGTTATAGCATTCCTATTTTTTTTCCTTCCATTCTTCCATCTCTTTGTTCGTTAGGTAGGAAAAGACTTAATGGTAATGTCACGAGCGTTAGTTACAAGGGCAGCTAACAGGGGCGCCTGGGTGGCTCAGTCGTTAAAGTGTCTGCCTTCGGCTCAGGTCATGATCCCAGGGTTCTGGGATTGAGCCCCACATCGAGCCCCACATCAGGCTCCCTGCTCCGCAGGGAGCCTGCTTCTCCCTCTCCCACTCCCCCTGCTTGTGTTCCCTCTCTCGCTGTGTCTCTCTCTGTCAAATAAATAAAATCTTATAAAAAAAAGAAAAACAAGGGCAGCTAACATCTATCTGATACTCATGCACCAAGCCAAGTAGTTTACATGTATTACCCCATCGAATCCTCACCTCCTCCTTGGAGGTAGGTGCTGTTATTACCCCTATTTTTATTGGAGAGGAAATCAAGGCTGAGGAAGGCTAAGGAACTTGCCTAAGGTCACAGCGAGAAAGCTGTGGTGCTGGGACTCCAACCTACAGCTGACTTTAGAGCCTTCGCCCTGTCACAGTCAAAAGCTTGGGGCTTTTAAATCACGTAAGATTAGAGTCCTACAAAAGAATCTTTTATAACCTATATCTATGTCTTGAAGCATTAAATGCACTCCTAAGAACCCACCGTCCAACTGGTCGACTCCAACATGCCTGGTTCCTCTGGGCCGCCCTGTATATCCCTCCCCAGCCCCCTCCCCTCGTGTGCCCCCCTGAAGGAGCTACTATACAGAAATTTGTGTTTGTCATTCTCTCACCTCTAAAAAATTAGTATTTGACCACCCAGGACTGTGTCCCTGAGAATATGCTTCTCAAACAGGAAGAGATGCCAATCAATGAATTGTCTGCATGGGGCAGCTGAGACTCAACCTCTGGCCCGGACATCTGGGCAGGTGGCAGGAGCGGAAGAGCTAGCCAGGGACTCCGCTGTCCGTGGACTCCCGCCCTCCCTGCTCAGGGCCCTGGCGGGGGACGGGTACCTGAGATAGTCCCTCCGGCAGAGCTTCCGGCCCAGCTTGTAGTAGAGGCGCCGCCCCACCTCGCCCAGCCGGCACCCGCAGAGGTCACAGCTGAGGCAGTCCTCGTGCCAGTACTGGTCGATGGCCTTCAGGAAGTAGCGGTCCCCAATGTTCTGCTGGCAGCCGCCGCATGTCAGCAGGGACGGGGGGATCTGCAGCACCTCATCCACTGGCTCCCTGGAAAGAAGACCCCGCATTAGGGATAACCTCGTGACAAGCACCGGGGGTGAGGCATGGCTCTGGGCCGGACGGGACAGTTGGGAGAGAGGAGAAAGGACAGGACTACCTATCCGGAGGCCGGACGGCAGAGGGGACCGGCTAGCTTGGGTCAGGACAGGAGAGAGCGAGGCCTTCCACCCTCCATGCTATGGAAGTAAATGCAGGTGGTTCTGCAACCCCCACCCCGCACAGCCCCGCACCGTTCTGGGCCCTTCCGCCCTCTTTTTTTTTTTTTTTTCCTTTTTTCCACTCTCCCTTCCTACTCTCTTGTATCTTGCCATTTCTCCTTCTTTTTCCTCCTCCCAGGCCTAGACTCCAGGGCCCTGCTGAACCCCACAGGAGGCACTCCAGGCCAGAAGAGTTGCTTGCTTCAGGGACAGCCCACTACCCAGAGGGCTAAAAATCTGCAAATTCCCTGTTGAATCTCCATGCTGTTTTACCCCAAGCCCTTCCCAACTGCAAAAAAGCAGAAGTGAGGAAGAAAGAAGAAAGTGATCAAGGATTATCCTAGGTTGTTTTCTTGTTTCCCAAATAAAAATTCCATCAGGATATAATAGGAATTCTCATTATTACTTTTAAAATTATTATTATTTTTTTTTTTTTACAGAAATTCCACATCCCATCCTTATTACTGAGTGAATCCTTGAAGAAAAATCCCAGGTATTAAGGCCATTGTCAGACTTATAAAGGACACTAAATAGACCTTTCTGCATGTGAAAATATTTACAACAGCAAAACTGATCTGGACAAAGCTGATTTAGGAAAGAAAATGAGGAAGGGGTAATGGAATATTTTCAAGAGAGTGGAAGGCAATTAAACAGACTCTGAAATCTCCATCCAGGCACTTGCTAATAGTGAGCCTGTGGGGTGTGTTCCTTCGTTAAAAAGTCAGACAACGTCTCTAGTTTACTTTGCTTCACTGGAATCTGAATACTACTGTTTTACATTTTAAAATAAATAATTTTATTTGCCAAAAGATAATAAAAGAGAGTGGAAAGCAACTACACCAGCACCAAATGGGACATGGGAAGAACCTAATACCGTTGATTTGTAACAATTAACGAGTAAGAGTAAGTGCTCTTTTGAACCTTACTCAAACACAAAGCTTTTTTTTTTTTTTAATCCATTATGTTTTTTAAAAATGGACCTGCTTCCAACTGTGGGATTCCCAAAGGGAGTTTCTTCCTCTGTATCTTGAGGGTATAAATCTGTCTCCTATTTCTAGCTGACACTGACTTACCAGGTGACCTTGTGCCTGACCTGGCCTGTGCCCACAGAGCTCAGCACCCATTATACTTAGGGACGAAGAGACGCAGGTAATCAGTGTTGATCACACACACTGACAACTTCAGGTGCCTTTTTCTAGAAAGCGCACACCTCCCTGAGTATTTAGGAATACTGAAGCCAAGTCCACGCTTTGTAGACCAAGGGTCAGTGTCCTTCATAAAATGATTAGAATTAGAAAATGTGAAACCCAAGTCAGGTTTCTTTTAAAAGCTCAAGACTTTAAATAGTTTTAAGAATTCACTGAAGCCTGACTTGCTTTTCTTTGTTTCCCCAGATTATACCTAAGGACTTCCATTCTCCCTTCTGAAAAATATCCCCCAGCATTTTCACATGTGTCAACTCAGAAATGCATGTCTTCTCTTTCCAAGGCCCACGGTCTGACTTGGGGCTCTCAGAAACACTCGGGGAACCTCGACCACACTCAATGCCCTGATGCTGATGCTGCCAACCAATTGTGGAAGAGGAGAATGTGCACTTTGCTGGGGCAAAACTGCCTGGAATTAAAACGAACTGCTCTTGTTACTCACAGGTAGGTGGTAGAGGAAATCCCTATGTTCATGAATTCTGGCTGGCTTTCTGTCTAAATGTTTCATTTGCAAATGCCCAGGCAAGCTTCTATCTCTGCACTGGAGATGCTGATCATCGTGACCCAAGTTGGCTTTGAGTAAGTACACAATGAAGCATCTGGGAGGATAGAGTTTGGCGGTAGAAATGTTAAGCAAAAGAGCCATCGTGATGGCCCCAGATGAGATAGGAAAGGACAGGATAAGATATTGGCTCCATCTAGCTTTCTGTAATTAATGATAATATCACATTATCTTTCATGGATGTTCCAACGTAATGAATGGGTGGGATTCACCCTCAAATTAATATTTTATATTCTCCTAGAGCCTATCCTATATATTACACCGGAATATCACTTCCGCCTGGATTTCTGGGATCATTTCTCAACAATTTCTAATAAAAGAAGGGAGTAGGATGTGCTACAGTAATTTCCCAACTAGCTTGTCCATCTCCAGGTAGAGCCTGTCTTTATGGGCAAACAGTGAAGTGAAGGATGAAGGTTCTTCAGTAGGTGCCTGCTGAACTCTGAGGTTAGGATGTTTCAATTTTCTAATCTCGGTGAAAAAGCACAAACTTTGAAAAGAGCAAACCTCCTTCAGGGAACTGAAACCTCCAGATTTATCTTCTAATAAAAGGATTAGTGACTAAGTTCTGCTGATCGAAAAGGCATTAGGTACCAATTCATCCCATTCACTCTTATTGCATTACTATGGTCTTGCCCAGGCTCTGAAAACTCAGGGCTAAGTTGTAATTCTAGGTTTATAAAAAAAAGTGCACAAACCACCCTTTAAACCCAGTGTCTGCAGAGATATATTCTTTTAAAAATGAATGTTATTTTTCTCCTAAGCATTTGTTGAAGGAAGCTGTGTTTTCCTTAGAACAGACCTGGCCCCCTATAGAACTGATGTCTGAGCCTTCAAGATTGAATAGTGATGTTTATATTCTCACTGGATCCTGGTACTTCCTGTATTTTATAAGAGCATGCTGAGTGTTTATGCTGGTAACTGAGGGTAAAGCCAGGTATATAAATACCATAGATGGCTGAAACTGGGGGAGGGAGAGACTTCAATCAGGAAAGCCCAATTCCTTTAAAGCAGGGAAAGAAAAGAAAAGAAGAGAAAACAAATGCCTCTTAAAAGCACAAATGGACAAGTCATTAACCAGCTCCTTTGGTCTGTGTAACAAATCCCTTCAAAGGATTAGATGGGGACTTCAAAGGAATAAAAATTCTCAATACCAGACAGCTAATGAATCTTAAAAGGGCATTTGCGCTGACGGGAAAATGATATCTTAAACAACCCTTTCTCCCCTTGTTAACGGGAAAGAATGGGCTGGAGGTATAGGTTGGGAACAGGGGAAAATTCCAAACCAGTACAAGGCTCAGAAAAGAAATGCGGCAGATGCTCATTAGAGCTCTCGTTCTCTAACCTCAAACCCTTTAGAGACTGTGATAAATGCTATGAGCCACCGCTCCCCAGAATTCACCTATACACAAAATGGTGCACTAACTTTTGAGGTTCACAGGCCCCTATCAGTGGATCCCAAGGGCGGGGGTACATGTTCCCAAATGAACTCCGGATTTAGGGGCTCGAAAGTCTGGAGGCCAGAGAGAGCTCCTAGGTGGACGCTCGCACCGCCTCACCCGCCAGTCCCTGGAGCTGCGGGCAGCCGCTCAACCTGCGCACCGCGAAGGGGGCCGTCGGGGACTCGGGAGGCCTCCACTTGGAGTGCCCCCCTTTCCAGGATCAAATGGACAAAGAGAATGGGGACCGAGAAAGCAAGAGGGGAGAAGGGAGCAGAACCAAGCCCAGAACGCTCTCGGGACTGCACCCGCGCGCTTCCCAGCTCCCCGTGTGCCTGCTCCCGTGTAAACTTTCTGGCCCGCGGTGGCTTTGAGGTGCGTCCCAGGGAGCCGGGAGGGGCCCGCCGAGGTGCCCGGCCGACACCCTCTCCCTGCCGCCGGGCGCCCTGCCCCTCTCCCAGTGTCCCCGGAGCCACCCGCGAGGGAGGGGGAGCCCCGCGCAAGGCAAAGGGAGCCAAGGGCACGCTGCGGGCGCGCACCTGGAGCCTTCTGGCCCGCCGCCCGCGCCACCCTGCAGCCCCGGGGCGGGAGGCCGTGGTCACCGTGGGTGGCAGGGGCAGGGGAGCCACACTTACTCAGACGGGTCCAGGCTCTTCCTCTCGATGGCCGAGGACATTGGGGAGGGAGGTGGCGTGCCAGGCGGCGGGGGCGCTCCCTTTGTGGCGCGGGGCTGGCCGGCTGCTGGGGCTCGGACCCCCTCGGGTGCTCGGGCGCCGCCGCCGCCGCTCCTGCGCCTCCTCTTGCTCCGGCGCTCCGGCGGCGAGCTCGCCCCTCCGCGCTCAAGGACAGTCACCGCGCTCCCTTCAAACGCCAAAGAGAGAGAGCGAATCACCGGGCTGCCGGCGCCCCGCGGCCGAGGCGGGGACCGGGGCGCGCAGCCTGGCCCCGGCGGCTGCAGCTGCTGCTGCTGCTCAGGACTTAACCTTCCATCCCGGTCCCGCCGCCGCCGCCGCCGCCGCCGCCAGGTCCAGCTCGGCTCGCGCGCTGTCACCGGCTCCGCGCAGCCCGCGGGGACCGTGCGCGCCCGCCCGGCCGCCCCGAGTCCCTCGCACCTTCGACCCGGGTCGCGGCGCGCAGCTCGCCGCCGAGGGCAGGGAGGGGGCGGCGGCCTGGGGGCGGGGAGGGGACCGCGCCTCTCTCCCCGGGCTCCCTCCTCTCTCGGGAAGGTCTATTTTCGCTCAGCTTCCCTCTGTCTCTGGTTTCATTTCCTTTTTCCTGATCACGATTCAAATACAATAGAAGGAAATCACATTTAAAGAGACAGCTGCCCGGTCCCCCCCCCCTTTTTTAAACGGGGCTCCTGGGGATTAGCAATACAAACAGCAGCAGCATCAGGATTGACTTGGCTTCTTAAAGGGGCCAGCGTCGGGGACGGGGAGAGTCGCTCAGTGAACACCTTTCCTTGGAGAGGCGGCTGGGTTGCCTCTAAATCATTCTTTAGGGCTTCCCCTCTTCGGCGTTTCCCTTTTGGCTAACTAAGACTGAAAGTAACCAGCAGGCCGCTCAAGGAAGAAAAAAAAGACAAGAACGTGAAATAAGCACATACAGAAATGCAAGCGCTCCGGGTGGCTTTCGCGCCCGTCCGGGGTTCGAGGTCCCAGGTCCGCGGACACCGTACGCCGGGATGCCCCGGACAGCGCGGCTCTGCGGGCGGCGGCTTTGTGACTGCGTCCGTGCTCCAGAGAGGCGACTGTGCGAGCAGGGACCGCACGGGCTGGGTATGCCTGAGCAGTGCCGGGGGCAGCTAATCCCGGAGGGAGGGTGGTTGGGAGGGACCACGCTGGTCTGAGTCTCCTCTCCATCTGCTGGCGGCCGAATTCCATCCCTCAGCATCTTTCAAAAATCGGACTCCTGCGGTGGAAGTGCCCCCATGGAAAGTGCCAGTAATACTCTGTACAGAGAAAGTGCCTTTCCAATGATCAACCGCAATACTTGGGAGACTATTTTGCCCTGGGTCTGGGAAAGAAAGAAGCCAGACTTGATTCTGGAGTTCAGGTTTCCCCTCCAACCACAAGGGCAAAGTCCTGTAAGAAAAACTTTTGGTCTCATCAGAATTCCTTGAAAATTATTGTATTCAGAAATTAGTTTCTTCAGAAATTAGTATTAAAGGTCTATTTGTGCATGATGCCAGTTACAAGTCTTGTAAAGAGGAAATTACCAAGGGCTTTTGGAATCCAAGGTTTTATATAAATAGTCTGGATCATGGTCATAGACATTTTATTCCCATTTTAAAGATGACGTTGAAGGGCTTGGAGTTTACTGTGAAAGGCTGGTGGTTGAAGGCACAAGTGAATTCCTGATCACTTCATTTTCCCTGTTCAGAGCCAATCCTCACTGACTTTTCACAACTATAAACCAGAATTTACTATTGTCTGCATGCTTTTGTCATTTTCTTGTCTCCCTGTATCCAAGGTTGGATCCCTAATGGGTATAATTAGAATGTGTGTGTGTGTGAGAGAGAGAGAGAGTGTGTGTGTGTGTGTGCACATGTGTGTGACCAAGGAAGCCCTAAGAGCAGCTTTGGGTTCAAGTCAAGGCCGTCAATATATAAAAAGATAGTCTCCTGATCAGACCCTTGCTTTTAACCAAGAAAACAAAAACAAAAACAAAAAACAGAAAAACAAACAAAAAAACCTAGACATCTTAGGCAAGCCTAAATTATGTGATAGATTTATAACTTACCACTCTATAATCAGAAATGAAAATTAGCCTATAGGTCATGATTAGCAGTTTGCCTACTTATAGCCAGTCAGTGTAGTGGTTAAATGCCAAGGACTACCTGGGTTTCCCTTGGGCCTTTATCAGCTAGCATGGCCTAGGAAAGTTACTTAATATGAGGAGACAGTACTGGGTAGTTGGTCTAGAGTCAGTCTGCCAACATTCTAACCCACCGTTTCCCACCTATGTGAACCTGGGCTAACAGCAAGAATTTAAACTCCCCAAATCCTCATCTTATAGTGGGGATGCCAGAACCTATTGCATCAGTTGTGAAGATTAAATGAGTAAATGCATGCAAAGTGTGGAACATAAACTTATAATGGGGTGGGAGTAATAACAGATATGAGATTAAATGCATGGAAAGCACTCAACATATATTAAATGCACATAAAAGGCAGCTGCTATGTTATAGCAAAAGACATCATGGGGAGAGTTTAAAAAGTCCTTGAATTTAGCAATTCCTCTGGGTATTTATCCAAAGAAAATGAAAACACTAACTCGAAAAGATATATGCACCTCTGTGTTCATTGCAGTCTTTACAATAGCCAGGATATGGAAGCAATCTAAACGCCTATCAATGGATGAATGGATAATGAAGATGAGTGTGTATACATACACACACATACACACACAATGGAATATTATTCAGCTATAAGAGAAATGAAACGTTACCATCTTCGACAACATGGATGAGCCTTGGAGGTATTATGCTAAGTGAAATAAGTCAGAGAGTGACAAATTCCTATGATCTCACTCATATGTGGAATTTAAAAAAAAACAAACAAGCTCTTAGATACAGAACAGATTGGTGGTTGCCTGAGGGGAGGGATAGGGGTAGGCGAAATGGGTAAAGGTGGTCAAAAGGTACAAACTTCCAGTTATAAAATAAGTAAGTCCTGGGGTTATAATGTACAGCATGGTGACTATAATTAATAATACTGTGTTGCATATTTGAAAATTGCTAAGAGAGCAAATCTTAAAAGTTCTCATTATAAGAAAAAAATGTGTAACTGGTGATGGATATTAACTAGACGTATTGTGGTGATCTTTGGCAATATATGCAAATATTGAATCATGTTGTACAAATGAAACCAATATAATGTTGTATGTCAATTATACCTCAATAAAAGATAAATTAAAAACTCAAAAATAAATACAAAGAACTTGAAATTCAATTTGAACGTGAAATGGGGGTTTAAAATAAGAACTTCCCACCCAAATTTAAAAACAATTCCCTGGTTTTTTGTTTGTTTTTTTTTTTTTTAAAGCAAACAGAGCTTTACTTCACCTCACTTCCTATTGCTCTCAACATGTGAGCATTTTCCATTTCAGCGTTCACTACCTCGGTGAGTAGATGATATGTTTGCATGTGCTTGCTTCTATTAAATCTGACAAGTTGCTACCTTTCTTGTTACAGTTTTGTATGGGGCTCAAGTTAGCTGTTAAAATAAATATATCCTTGAGGTAACCTCTGAACCACCAACTTTTGGGCATAAAGTTTCTCTTTAATAATATGCTTCTGTTTTGACCCCAGTATGTAAAGAAAGAGAGATTACTGCCTATGACTTTGGGTCAGTTTCTTATCTTTCACAACTCTTTGGGGAGAACTTCCTTAGAGAAAGTGAATATTTGAAATGGTATCTTAAGATTTCAATTTCACACACAGTGGTTGTAAGAAATAACTGCCTACCGGTGGGATTTCATTTCTATTCAACGGGCAATTAAATTGCTCAAATTTAAGCTTAACATTTAGAATCAAGTCTCAAAATGTGTTTTTATTATGAATAATTTTAAAGCATTCGTGACCTTATCATATCTTTCCATAGCAAACCTTACGCCTTATGCAGAAGAGGCAATTCCATAGTTCTTGAGAGTTGGGGAAATCTGCACTTGATCCTCAGCGGGTGGGATTGCAATTTAATTCTGTCTCCCCACCCCACCCCCCACTCCTTGCAAATCTTGAATACCTTAAAATTTAGAAATTTTAATTTCCAAATTAAAATTGAATGTGAATGTCAGAGGAAGACCGAAGCAGTCTGCATGATGAATCTGACCCCAGGTGGATTACTTTTTTCCTGTTGGCATTTTCTATTCTTTTTGCTTATTGCATTTACAATTGTTTTCTAGGGAAGAGCATTTTCAAGTGACTAAGGCTACATTTCTTTGCTAAAATGGACTTCTAATAGAAATGAAAATGCAAATGTCATTGGGAAAATGCCAAGAATGACAATTTACTTCTTTTATTTTTTTCCCCAATTGTTAGAAGCTAAGTTGTATCCCATGCCTGTTAGCGGTGAAATTCACATACAGCAACAAAAATAAAGATTTGTCTTAACATGGCTTCAGTTCCCAGGCAAAATTCTTTAAACTAAAACTCCATTGTCACAGACTTCTGGCTCCCAAACTCATTTCAGGATATTTCAGCTGGTGGATATGTTTTCACAGAATGTTAGACCGATTAGTAATCTTAGTGCTAAATAAATCACGTTTCTTATATAGTAGAAAAGCCTAAACGTCTAAAAAAAAAAAATCCACTTCCACTGAGGCTCGGGAGAACGGGCATAGGTGTTAGATACAGCTTGGCTGTTGTTCGCTGTGTGATTTGAAGAAAGTTACCTCACCTCTCTGAGCTTCAGTTTCTATATCTGTCAAACGTCAAATATCTGTGGGTAGTAATGCTCAGCAGGGCCAGCACTAGGGTGAGGCGGCTGCCATGTCTGTCTCCCCCGCCCCGGGAATTTCAAGAGGATTCTATAGCATCATGTGTGGGAGAATGCTTTGCACAGTGATGGTTCACAGGAATTATAGCTCTTGTCATTATTCCATCTTTCAGAAGTTACGGCCACTGTCTCAGGAAACAGCTAGCTGGTCTCCCAGCCAGTCAGGACAGCCTCCGAAGAATGCTGAGGCCAGAAGCTGCGGGGAGAGCTCAAGTGTGCGTAAGACATCAACCGGCCTCAGGCTTGGCGGGCCCCCAGCCAGCAATGCAGGACTGTGCCCATCTAGGTTCCAGACAAGCTGCTGACAGCTTCATTGCTTCTCTACGACATTGCCTGCCTCAGCCGCATCCCTGATTTTATCTATCTGATGTCCCCCCTTCCAACAACTTCTAGATCCTCTTTTACGACGAAGAGGCAAAATCAAGGGCTGAATCATTGCCCCCGAATGTCACAATTCCACAGCAAGGTCTTAGCAGAGTTAAGCTCCTAGCATGTTCTAGAGGAAGGGACCTCAAAAATGTGATTTAGTGGCTTGCTTTTGGGAGCAGTAGGGGTTCTAAGGCCCCTCCTTAGCGGGCTTCACCTGCCCCTGTGCCAACCGCAGCAGCACCATACTTGTTGACCTTTGATGTGCTGCTCCACCTCTCTGGACTTTGGTTGCTGCATCTGTGAAGTGGGCATATTCAGAGTACCTATCTCATGGAGCCGTTATAATAATCCAGAGGAATGAAACACTTAAGGTGCTTGGCAAGGAGACTGGTACCTAGTAAGTTTCCA